GAATGAGTGTGTCAGAGATGGCGAGGGTGGCACAGTATAGGGCAGCATTTAGGGCTCTTGTACATAGGGCTGCTATGAGTCGCAAGAAACTGTTTGGCACATAACAACAGCAAACACATTTTATTGACTCTGCAAAGGAATTTGACTGTGTATCAAAATTTTATGTGAATCAAAATTATCAAGAAGAATGGGAATCTTTTAGCACTTAATTGTGTTCTTGTAGCCAAGAAGCAGTTGTCCAAACATAACATAGGAACCTATGTGGTTTCAAATAAGGAAAGCTGTTCTTCAGGGTTTTATCCTTTCCTCATACCTATTCAATCTGTATGCTGAGAAAACCATTCAATAGTTATTTATGTAAGGAGAATATGGCATCAGAATTGGAGGAAAATTCTTCAACAACCTATGTATACAAATGAGAGTGATACTTGCAGATAGTGAAGAAGGCTTGAAGCACTTACAAAAGACGATCAAATATTACAATCTTCATATATAGATTACATCATGACATCAAGAAAACAAAAACCTCACCACTATGATAGATGGAGAAACCTCACAACATTATGACAGATAAAGAATGAAGTCAATGCTTTCTTTGTACTTAGATCCACAATCAACACTTTTAGTAGAAGTAGTCAAGAAATAAAAAGATGTGTTGCGTTGGGAATATCTACTCTTTAAGGAGCAAGAATAAGATGCACCTGACCCAGACTGTGGTGTTTTCAGTTGTTTCTCATGCATCTGAAAGTTGAACAATAAATAAAGAAGACAGAAGCAGAACCCAATATCTTGGAAATGTAGTGGTGAAGAAGACTGAATATTCCATGGACGTCAAAAAGAATAAATTTGTCCTGAATGAAGTGCAACTAGAGTGCTCCTTAGAGGCAAGGATGGTGAAACTTTGTTGTCCAGAGGAGCTAGTTCTTAGAAAAAAGATTCCATGATGGAAGAGGTGGAAGGTCAGCAAAGGAGAGGAAGACCTTCAATGAGATGGATTGACAGTGTAAAACGGGCTCCGAGATGGCTAACATAATGAAGGTGGTGCAGGACAGGACAGCATTTTGATCCGTTGTTCATAGGGTTATTATGAGTGGCAGTTGACTTGATGGCATCTACTAACAACAACATTTACTGTTTCATTCCCTTGAAAGCCATTCATATCTTCTTACAAAAATTGTGTCTTAAAATATGGAGTGAATCTCAACCCTTTCATGCTTTCTAGCGCACTTCAAATGAAATGAAAATTTCTCCCAATGACCTTCATGGACATTGGTTAGTACTTTTCTCTGCAACCTTTCTGTTCCAACCTCATACCCTCCTGCCCCAACAACTTTCCTGACTTTTTACGTGTATTGAGTCTTCCCTGCTAGTCCTTTTTACCATACCCTGTTTATCTGTTTTCAAAATACTCATCTCATGTTGTTGTTGTTGTTAAGTGTAGTAGTTGGCTGTGACTCATCGTGACCTCATGAAAAAGATATATGGACCTTGCCCTAGCCTGTGCTATCCTCACCATTTCTAACATGCTCAAGACTATTGTTACAGTCACTGTGTTGATCTGTCCTGTTCTTTCTCTGACCTTCCGCTTTTCCCAACATGGAGTCTTTTTCCAAAGACTGGTCTCTACTGAACTGTAAAGTGTACAAAGCCAGCAGCTATACCTGTTTCTTAACTATTGTATCTGAACATCTAGCACAGTGTTTGGCTTAATGAGTAGGTGGATGTGGAGCACCTAGAGGAGACTTGGGGTGATGCTGCAGTTGTTACCATCCAGGTGCTGTCCACAGGAGGGGTTCTGCCCCAGCCCCTGTGACCTGGTAAGCTTGCAGATCCTGTCCTCAATGATACAGGACAGGCCTGGACATGGTGTGTTCTGCTGGAAGTTCCTCTGTTTCAGAATATTTTATCAAACAGCTTTCTAATTGTAACCAGTTCCCAAGGACCTGCTCATCCTGGGTCACTGTCACCTTAATTTATTTGGTGACTTTGATGAGTCTCAGATGATCCATAAACAACTGATTCTTTGGGACTTAAAAACAAAACCTAATTCCTGAACTTGTATATGATCTGGAGACCTGCCCTTGGACATACTGCTAGGCAGGAAGCCAGCATTCTCTGGTGATGCTGCCTCCTCCCAAACCTGTTGTTGGCATTCCACAATCATGCGGTTATTAGCCTGTTCCAAGTGCGGAGTAGACAGACATAAAATACTGTTAATGCCAGTGATCTTAAAGATAGCTACTCAAGCTCTCTATACCAGCTGCAATATGCTTACCTTTGAGAAGCATGAGGGCCTGGGTCTGAGGTGCTCGTCTGTGGCCCCCCTCACTGTGACTGAGTCCAGGTTTCTACCTGCTGTGCTCACTGTTCTGTGTGGGTGACTGAGGGTTTGCACAGTCTAGTTCACCACCATGGTTTGTAATTGGTAGCTAACCTAAGGTTGGAGTTCACCTCATTCACCTAGGAGTGCTGTGGAAGAGAGGCCTGGTGGTCTGATTTCATAAAATTTAAGGCCATGGGCAGCACTATGGGCCGGTTCTACCCTGTAGCACACATGGTCGCTATAAGGCACCATCTTAGCTGCAATGGTTTGGTTTGTTTCCTCCACAGTTAACATGTACAAAAGGAAATGACTTAGTAACTGTCCAAATTGTCTCACAACAGCAGTTTTACACTAACACTGAGCAGATGATTCCAGTAGCATCCCAGGAAGGAATCAGCAGATGAATGTTCTCGTGTAAGTGGTCATTGAAGATATAACTTGCAAATTGATATCATCCTTGGGTCTTGCCATTTATTCCCTTAAAATGTTTCTTTAAAAAAAAGTACTGAAACAGAGGAGGGAGAGAACCGTTTAAAAGAGAGATGTAACTGGGTGTTTCTGTCATCACAGGAGACTAGAGCGAGGGCTGCATGGTGGAGGGGACCTGGGGGAGGGTTTGTAAAACAATGAAAGAATCTTTTCTTTTACTTTTCC